TGCATGTGCTATTCCAGGTAAACCGTATTGATGAGGCATCCTTTAGATGTTCTTCTTGGTTATGACACTTGCTTACACCACTGCATATTTGAATTTGGTTATTTGTTCATGTTCACGTTGTTTTGAATTTAGAAATAAATTCAGAATAATACTATTCGGAACGTTATTTTCGGATGCCTTTTTAAATGAATATATCATGTTTCGCATTTCGCACACCTGGCAAGCATGTTAGTTAATGAATCTTTAATAGAATTACAGCAACGTAATACTCTCGGCCATTCAGATGTATCTCCAAAGAATACTTTTAGCTTGCACTAACAAACGTAAACACAACAGTTCGCATAGTTACGTACGACTTGCGGCACCTTTCAGCATACGTGAGAATAAAATGCTACATTTTCCCCTTCCACCTCAACTGCTACCTCATTCCATTCGAAAAACACCTGTTCGTAACACGAATTTTCCGACGTATAAATTAACAATTTATATTTATATTGTATGGCAATCGATGAATTAGATCGAAAAGTAAAAATCAATTAAGGCAATATTTATATATTCCGATGCTAATGAAAACTATAAGACTTTATATTCAAGCTTTGTTCTGTTAAAATTCTACATATGATTGCAATTACCCTGAATTATTTTTTTAAAAATCAACTGCAGAATTACATCTCAAACACGCCTAATTTTATTTTCTAATAATTTAGTTATTCTATAATTAAAGTAAAAAAAAAAAAATAGTGAATAATTTCGTTTGTCAACTTTGAAATATGCCTTCAACATTAAATTTCTAAAATAAAACCAAATAGCTTAAAAAAATGTTGTAAGGGGTAATTCTACAGATGATGGAATGACAGCATACCTAGTGTAAGTTCGCTTGTTGACTCCATACATTAGGAGAATCGGATTGTACTAGAGCAGCTGTTGGATTAGGAGGTCTCCCGCCTCTATGCATGATCTCATCTGCTGAGGGACAATGAGGTCTAGGCCCAGGCTCTGGAGTATACGTAAACGTTAATCCCGTTGCGTAAATGATCCCATCGTTCCTAACCAGCGAGACAGGTACTTGAGTTGGTTGTCTGACCCATAACCATTCGCCCCTAAACCGTGAAATATCCGGAACAACACAAAGCATCGATTCTTGGCACCTGTACATTGTTTCTGCTTCTACATCGCCAAACCAAACTTGCAGAGAGGGCGAGAAATTATCACCAGTTAACTCCAGCATTGCTACATCACCACCTCCATTTAAATGAAGGCTGTGGACAATAGGAACGGGAGTAACGGGGTTTTTAACAGGACCCATGCCTTCATAGAATTGATATTCTGCTTTGTCTGTAGAAATAATAGTCCAACACGCACCATCGTTAATCATTTCTTTGTTTGGTTCCTTAGGACATGGAGTTGCCTGGAATTGAATTATTCTTTCTTGTGATAAACACAAGTACATGCGTTCAGTGTCTTTCATATAGAATGCACATTTATGAAGCTGAGATACTGGATCATCTGCCTCCAATAAAGCCTGCTGTTTGTCCACCTTAATTAAAGAAAAATACAAAACATTATCAATAATAAAACTCCATAAAAGAAAAGGTAAAACAAAACAAAGCTAACATTTCTTCTATGATATAATATGTTAGGTATTATTTCATTTATTTTAAACAATGTAATTAATAATATGCAATAAGATTCTTACCTTTCTAATAATAAGTCTAGGCAAAGCCATGCCAGTTACTGAGCATACCAATTTAACAGTTGATCCATAGTGAATATAGCCATCACGGACTTGGAATTCTTCACTTTCAGATTCATTATCATCTAACAAATGTATAGTAAATGCACCCCACTGAGTAGAACTTGCATGAAAATGACCATTTTCTACATGTAAATACCTGGTGGACACAGTTTGTGATCTAAGCCTATTAAAAAGGGCTACTTTTGTACCACTTGCAATACACAGATCAGCATTTTTTAAAGATTGTTTTTTCTTAGATGGTTTAGAAATTACTTTAATGCGTTTACTATGAAATAGTCCAATGTCATGCCCAGATCCATAGAACATTTTTACTGATAACATGAAATGTTTACGCTTGTCAGAATCTGAAATATATAATGTTTTTGCTGCACAATATTGTTTGCCATTATTGAGATCCAGCTGTTGCATATCCTGATCTGAGTTTCCGATACCTATGAATGCACATAACTGGGCTGCTTGCTCAGATTCACCTACTCTAAGCATTTGCTCCTGCCTCAACCGCCAACCATCTCCAAAAAGGTATATACATGGTGGAGGACAAAAAAATCTCTTTTCATTCCCATAAGATTTTTGAGCTACCTTTGCATGTAATATTACAACAACCATATCACTACGTTCTCTAAGGTACCTTTCCATAGCTTCTCTGGTAAGTTTGCGACCTTCTCCTCTGTACCCTCCAGGAACGACTGCTCCACTAAAACGTGAATACATAGCTCCATGCTGGGGTGGAGGAGTTGGTGGAGATTGTGCATGTGCTATTCCAGGTAAACCGTATTGATGAGGCATCCTTTAGATGTTCTTCTTGGTTATGACACTTGCTTACACCACTGCATATTTGAATTTGGTTATTTGTTCATGTTCACGTTGTTTTGAATTTAGAAATAAATTCAGAATAATACTATTCGGAACGTTATTTTCGGATGCCTTTTTAAATGAATATATCATGTTTCGCATTTCGCACACCTGGCAAGCATGTTAGTTAATGAATCTTTAATAGAATTACAGCAACGTAATACTCTCGGCCATTCAGATGTATCTCCAAAGAATACTTTTAGCTTGCACTAACAAACGTAAACACAACAGTTCGCATAGTTACGTACGACTTGCGGCACCTTTCAGCATACGTGAGAATAAAATGCTACATTTTCCCCTTCCACCTCAACTGCTACCTCATTCCATTCGAAAAACACCTGTTCGTAACACGAATTTTCCGACAGTCTAGCCAACACGATGTGTTGTGTACTTTACAGAACGTTTACAAAACAATTTTGATTTTTACACGAACAATCTTTCATTAATAAAAACTGTTCAACTACGAAGTAATTACTTAAATTTGCTTCCAATTCTTCTCCTAAATGTGAGATAATATTTGTCCAAATTTTGGCTGTCACGGTCTGACGATATTTTTATTGTATTGGTAACATAATTTATTATGATGATCCATGTTTAGTTTCCCCTCGCCGCTCCAATGCCGCGAAAGGATGTTAGGGTTACGACTGGGGCGTGGGAAAATCATCGTGTGGGAAAGAGTGGGTGGCCTCGGTGATTCTCAAACATTTGATACAGCCGATGTAATTCAGACTAGCGGCCAGATTAAGTTAACATTTACATATTTTTCCCTGATGTGACGATTCTTACATTTACAGTCATGGGAATTACGGTGTGAATTCTTTTATCTTTTATGTGAAATTGCCGAAATTAGACATAGGCGTCACAGTACAAACTAACTTTTGGGAGACAGACCATAAAAAAAACACAGATTCCCATTACCTTTACTAATTCATTTTTTTTTTTAATACTAGTGAGTTTCGGTTTGCATGTATTTTTCAATTTTCAGTTTATTGAAAATCTATTTACTAATGATGAAATTTATGTTATTTAAAATATTGTAATAAAACGGTGATTTACCTCAACATTGTGTAATCACTGAATAAAGTTATTTAAAATCAAAGCGTAATTGTATTGTAGTTATTGTAAATACTGTTAAATAATCTTTAATTATGTTGCTAACTATTATTTACTTTATTATTAGATTGTATAAAAACAGTTTCTTACTCACAGTGACGCCACTGGAAAATATAGTTGTGGTGGCAGCGTGGGAAAACCAAGTCTCGTAATTTTCTGAAGGTAGCTTCCGATTTGAAGATTTATAATAACCATGGGAGTCACCGGACTGTGGAGGCTGATTGAACCCTCAGGAAAACCAGTCCCATTAGAAACTTTAGAAAATAAAGTTTTAGCTGTTGGTATCCTTAATTAACATATAATTATACTCTCAAAAGACCTCACTTTAACCTATGTATTTTTAACTATTGTTTTTTCTTAATTAAACAAATAGATATATCGATTTGGCTACATCAAGCAATTAAAGGATTTCAAGATTCTAAGGGAGCACCATTACCCAATGCACACCTTTTAGGAATTTATCACAGAGTTTGCAAATTATTATATTTTCGAATAAAACCAATCTTTGTTTTTGATGGAGGTGTTCCTAATCTTAAAAAGCAGACAATTGTAAGTAATGTACAATTGCATAATTTATGTCATCTTTAATAAAGTAATGACTTGCAATTCACAATTTAACAACTTGAATGCAATAGTCAAAAACTAAGTAAATTGTTATGATAAATGTTGTAAATGTTTGTTATAGGCAAAACGCAATCAATTTAAATCAAAAACTCTTAATGAAGCAGATAATATTCAAAAGCAGCTTATTAATACTTTGCTAAAACATTCAGCCATAAACAAAGTCATTGCTGAAAAGGCAAAGGCAAAGCTGGAAGCTTCATCAAAACCTAGTACCAGTAAAGTTTCAACTAGGGCTGAAAAGGATGACATGTTTAAACTACCAGAAATAAATAATGACTTCTCTAGTTCATCAAATGATGATGAAGAATCAGATTCAAGTCCTACAAAGCACTGGGATATTCACACAATTGATGAAAAAAGTCCTCATTTTCAGTCACTTCCACCAGATGTCCGCCATGAAATTCTCACTGAACTTAAAGAAACTCGAAAACAAAGTTCCTGGGATAGAATTCACGAAATTCCAAAAGAAAGTGGAGATTTTTCTAGTTACCAAATGAAAAGGCTTTTAAAAAGATTTTCTATACAGGCTAGTTTAGAAGAAGCTGAAAAAGAAATGGGTGGGCATTCCTTGTCTTTGGCAGAATTGGAATCACTCCTTCAAGATCAAGGAGTTGTTTCTAAAGATATAGGACAGAGAATAGCATCTGATGAAAATACTCGATTTCTTTTCATCAAAGATATTAAGAAAACTATGGAGGAAGCTAGAAAACAGGAAGAGAAAAATAAGAACAAAATTGAATCAGAAAATGTGAAACAGACTTCAAGCTCAAATTCTGAAAAAAATTCTATCATGGACTTGTCAAAAGATGAAGATGATGAATTACAAAGGGCAATACAACTATCATTACAGTGTGAAGCTGAAGAAGAAAAACCTACAGAAAATGAAGATGAAGATGTACAAAAAGCAATCCAATTATCATTGATAAGTGTAGTAAATACCTCACAAGATAAAATGAAAGGTTCTCAAAAAGTAAATTTATCATTTTTAAATAATTCACTATTACAAGTTTCTAGTGATTCAGAAGAGGAAATTAAGCCACCCGACAAAAAANGAAGAAAGAGAAAATATAGATAAACAAAAACAAAGCAAAAAGTTTTTAAAAATAGTATTTTTTATACAAATAAAAATGAAAGTTTAAATTCCCAAGAAAAATTTGTTCCTATCACTGATATAATTTCTGAGTCAACTAGATCAAATAAAGACATTAATTCTGCTATACTTCTTAAAAATGTAAACACAAGTATAGAGAAAGTAGACAGAGCAGTTGAAATTGAATTGATGTCAGATTCAGATTCTTCTGATGATCTTTTAGAAGTACCAACCAATGAATCAAGGACCCCTACTAAAACCTCAGGTTCCTCATTTGAAATTACAATTCAACCTAGTGAATTACTTCAGGATGATTTATTTAGCGATATTTTCTCAAAGTCCCTTGTAAGTGGTGCTAAAACATCAACAAAAACATATACTCAAAATGCAATCATAAGAAACACATTGTCTCGAATTCCTGAAGAAACTAATGATATTGAAAACAGAAAACTGAACAAAGAGATAGCAAATTATCTAAATGAAACTATTTCTAAAAAAACAGAATCTATAGCGTTTTCAAAAAAGACTGAAAAGAAACCAGAAGAAGAATTAACCAAAGAAACTGTTATGACTACGAAATCTAACGTTAATATTTCAGAATCTAATAATAAATCGATAGGTCTTACAACACAGGAAAACAAAGAGAAAGTTGTAAAGGAATTACTTCAAACACTAAAAGATTCTAATACGGTTTATACAAATGAAAACAATACCCCAGAAAAAGCTGTAGACTTTTTAAATACAAACCAATTAAAAGAGATACAAAGAAATTTGGTAGAGGAACAGAATCACCTAATATCAGAAAAATCAAATAAAGAAAGGCTGGCCACAAATATAACAGATCAAATGTACCAGGAGGCACAGGTATTATTATTCTTTTTTTTTTTAGTTTAAAGTTGTTTTTTTCAATTTAAATAATTCATAGGAATTGCTCCAACTTTTTGGAGTTCCCTACATAATTGCACCCATGGAAGCAGAAGCTCAATGTGCCTTTTTAGATTTAATCAATTTAACTGATGGTACAATAACTGATGACAGTGATATTTGGTTATTTGGGGGCAAAACTGTTTACAAAAACTTTTTCAATCAAAATAAGTATGTTCTTGAATTTAAATCTGAAGATATAGAACATCACTTTAGTAAGTTTCACAATTATTTGTTTTTTATTTTTATTATTATTTTTTAATATTCTATTTTCAGAACTTACAAGGGAGCAGATGATACTTCTTGCATTATTGGTGGGAAGCGATTATACTGTAGGCATACAAGGCATTGGACCAGTAACTGCCTTAGAAGTTCTTGCAGCATTTCCTCCCTCAAAAGTAACAGAATTCTCATTGTCTCATCAACAATTACTTTCTGGTCTCTTAGAATTTCGATCTTGGTTAACAGGAGGAAAATCAATACCAGGAAAAACAAGTTTACGGAATAAATTAAAAAACGTTGTCTTCACCGAAAATTTTCCGAGTTACCAAGTTGTTCAAGCCTATCTTGACCCTAAAGTGGATACAAGCAAAGAACCATTTTCCTGGGCAAAACCTGATATTGTTGCTCTTACAGATTTTGCTAGAGATAAATTCGGTTGGACCCGATTTAAAAGCGAAGAAATATTAAAACCAGTATTAAAAAGACTAGAAGAAAAGCATATCCAAAAATCGATTAGAAACTATTTTAAAACAAAATATAAACTTCATTCTACTGAAACTGAAGCTAAAATGAGCAAAAGAGTTCAAAAAGCAATACAGAAAATAGGTACTGAACCCATTGATTCTTTAGATGAAGATCAAACAAGTGAAAAAAGAGCCAAAAAGAAGAAAAATGCTACTGGAATTGAACAGGAGAAGTTACAAAAAACAAAAAAAACTAAGTTCAACAAAACCATTGCAACAGACGCAAATACTTCAAAACAAGATACAGATTTTGTTGAAAACCCTGGAAGAGTAAAAGCAGAAGCATCAAATAAAATCTCTAATAGTTTATCTGTACTAAAAGGAAAAAAATTGAAATCCCAAAAGACTAAAAAAGATTCGCAAGTTAAAATAACCAGAAAAACAAAAGAATTGCAAAAAATTGAAAAAAATGATGACACAAACAATAATAAATTATCAGAAAATAGTGAAAGTATAGAAGAAGAAAGAGAAAATATAGATAAACAAAAACAAAGCAATAGTAAAAAAGCTATTAAAAAACAAGTTTCCGAATCGACTTGGTCATTATCTGCCCCAGTAACAGAAGAAATTAATAAAGTTCAACAATCTAATAACAATCCCAAAGGCTCTGGAATAGATGATGTCGACGTAGTATCTGTGTCTAGAGAATTAAATGAAACTGACTCAAATAAAATTGGTTCTCCAGCAGATTTCAATCAACCGTCTACCTCTACAGCAATCATTCCAAAAAGGCCGAAAAACACATCGAAAAATAATAAAAAACAAAAAATTGACATTAATGAAGTTATAAATGGTGGTGATGAAGAGATGAGGATTCTTCAAGATGTTATTACGCATTCAAAAAGTAAAGTTGAACAGATTCGTTTGCAATTAACAAATCAATTAAAAAGAAATACTCGAAGTACAAAAGAACCGAAAGAAATAATTAGAGATGTAAGTGGACCAATTTCCCCTCTTGATCGACTAAAAACGGAAAATATACATAAAAAGGAAGTAATACCGCAAAAAATACAGGACAATTTAACAATGATGAGAAGCAAAATGAAAGCCATTGAGGTATTAAAAACCAAAAAAAATGCAACAAAGAAAAGGCCAAAAATAAAAAGAATGACTCATATAGGAACACATTATTTATCAGAGAGTAGTAGTGATGAAGATATTAAGAAAGCTTAAGCAAGTTTTGTAATAAATTGCATGTAATGTTAATAGATTCGTAAATACCTTTTTATTATTTTGCAATTAAATACATATTTTTACTGTTATTAAATTTTGAATATATATATTTTTTTAATATTTGTCTGATATAACAAAATTTGAAACCTAACTGAGTTCAACGTTGTCTGAATAAACATTTTATATTGTGAATAATAGTTAGGTACTTGACAAGTGCAACTTAAGTAATGTGCTACTTTAATATAGCTGATTTATATTTCATTATTTGAATTACAAAAAGTTTACTTGAATGAATTTTAGTTATTTTCATTTACATATTATTAAACAGTAAATTTTTCTAAATACGGGAAACATCTTATAAATTCTTTTTACAGAAAATAAAGTAATAAAAAGTTTTCAAACTTTACTTACACTTTTACTATCAACTGCTTTTCTTCATTACAGTATGGTAACAAAATACCTCATAATACAGATTATTATATTATTCACCCATAAAATACAAAAAGCTTATCATTAAACTTATTCTCCTTTTAAAATCATGATCACTACTGATTATCTATTATTGGTGGTTCTTCTTGGGTGATGATCTATGATTACGACCTAACCCTAAATTTATAAGGAAAAGTGGGGTTAGGTTTGCTTTTCATACAATACTGGTGATTTAAAAATGTGTACAACTGTTTTAAGAGAAATATGTAAAACGTTTCCAAAATATACTTCTAAGCAATTTAGAGTATTTGTTAGTTTACGTTCATTAGGCTATGCTTCAAGAGAGTATGGTAGGTTAACCATTATCGTGTCACTGTTTATTTACATATTGTTTATTGTATTTTACTTTAAGCTCATGAAGAAAGAGATCCTGCACCTTTTTTCTTTGACTCTAACGTACAATCGCTTCTCAGAACACTTACTAGGGTTGACTTAAACAAAGTTTTCAGAAAGCGAAAGACAGGTGATTTAAAGCTTGAACAACCAACATATAAATTTCTCACAGATGAACAACTGCAAGATGCACTTAAAGAAGCTCATGAAAAATCTAGTCAACTGTTACAGATACCTCCTGTAATTAAAGTCAGAAAGCCAATTGATACAGTAATTTCTAATGATCCAGCCCTTCAAGGATTGGAAACATCTAAATTTGTGTTCACAGATATTTCATATGGTATAAAATACAGTCAACGAATAATCGTCGTTAGAGAAACAGATGGTACCTTAAGACATGCAGATTGGGATGTACGAGAACGTATGAACCAATTATACTTTCCAGAACATGGGAGGAAACTTAAAGTATGTACTAAATGTTTTTTATTTGAAAAGTGTAGATAAAATTAACTACAATCAAAGAGATATTAGCTAAATTGAATATTTAATAGAACTATTTGTACTAAACTATGTGATATTTCTTTTTCTAATATTAAATGAATTTTATTGTTGTAGATTCCACGCATGTTTGAAAACACCAATTTGGAAAGTTTATTAAATCGTAAGGAATATATTTTTTTATTAGACAGAGCATGCATTCAGTTTGAACCAGATGATGCTAATTATCAAAGAGTCACCAGCATAACTTACCAACATATTAATGATAACAACGACTTTGAAATACTGAGATCCACAAGACATTTTGGTGCTTTAGCATTTTTTCTAACATGGTTTAAAAATATTGACAATTTGGTATTAGACCTTTTAGAAACATTGCATATTGAAGAAGTTAATGTATTACTCCAGTTATATGAAAAGTTACATGATCAAAGTTTTGGTGCAGAAAAATCAGATGAGGTAGAGGCACTAATAATTTATATAAATAAAGCAGCATCCAAAAAGGGTCCACTTGAATTGGCAGTTCAAGCATATAAAGACCTTAAAAAGCAAAGATTGCAATTAGAGAAAGGCATTCAAGCTGCTCATGGGTTAACATAGATCAAATATCTTTTTTTGTATATTTTTAATAAATACTACTACTAATAAATCAAGCTAGCAATAAATGCTACAAAATATGCGACTATTTTTGAATATTATTTTTAACAAATTGATTAATTTATAAAAAGTTAAATGATGAACTTGGTTTCCAGGAGAAATTTTAAAATTCGGCTGTCTGATTCATACGATAAAAACCCACAATAAAGATAAAATGTTTTATTAGTTAATTTTAACGTTTTTTAAAACAGCGTTATTAACCACGCCAGATATATTCGAGTATATTGGGTTTTTCCCTGTAAGTGCAACAAATTGTTCTGCAATTTCAACAGCAACACGAACCTGTGCCTCTGCTGTGCTTGCTCCAAGATGAGGAGTCGCAACAACTTTCGGATGCTGGATAAGTTTTAATGTAACGGAGTCAGTGGGCGGTTCTTGTTCGTACACATCTAAAGCTGCACCACCGCATCTTCCGTCTTCCAATGCCTTTAATAACGCGTTTTCATCAATAATACCACCTCGAGCTACATTGACGACTCTTACACCTTTTTTACTAACGGAAAATACTTTGTCGTTTATTAAATCTAAAATTAATTGGATTATAAAAAATAAAAAGTTTTTAATTATAGAAAATTTATAAGGTACACACTTCTTGTTTGAGGAATGAGAGGCACGTGAACGGTGATATAGTCAGCGCGTGGCCACAATTGATCTAATTCTAGGAATTCTACTCCAAATTTTGCCGCATCTTCTGAATTAACCAAAGGATCGTATCCAATAGTCTACAACATAAACCAGATTAGTAGCCAATTTATTAAGTTATTTAAGTTAAAATATTCAATTTAAAATAACAAGTATTTGTTATCATTCAGACTTAACCGAACACCCTGTATAAGCGTAAATATTTTCCTTAAATACTGCGTAGAAATGGTTGAGCCTTTTCTAAAACAAGTTTATCTACCACTATAAAAGAAAAATTCATACTTTGAACACCGTGTATATTACAGGTGCGAAACAAAAAATGAAAATGTTTAAACCTTCATTCCAAAAGCTTGCATCCTAGTCGCAACTTCTCGACCAATACGACCCAATCCAACTATAGCTAAAGTTTTCCCGTATAGTTCATGACCTGAGTAAAGTTTCCGATCCCAACGGCCTGCTTTTAACGATGCAGTAGCAGGGACTACGTTTCTGGACAAGTTTGCTATTAAAGTACATGTTAATTCACATGCACTAATAGCATTACCACCTGGAGTACTAAAGGAACAAAATATATTAATTATTTTGTTGCATACTTTTCTTTTTAAAAAAGCGGAACAGTGACCAGATATAGCAGGACCAGAAGAGTATAGATATAGTACAGATATAAAGAAGAAAATATCCACTTATTAAATAATATAACAGTAAATTATTTAATATTGAAATTTGTTTTTATCTCATTTATACAATTATATTGTTCAACTTATTTTGTAATCCCATATACATAAATAAGCTGATAAGATATATTCTCAGAGGCGGGTCTTTCGAAATAGAATAAGAACAAACAAGTTATCTGAGGATATTTCCTTCTAAATTTTTATAATTAAGTTAGAAAAACAAAATAACGTAAAGTATATGTTAATAACAACATCAAAATAATGAAAAAAATATTGAGCAACCTGTGAAAACTTACTTTAGTACAAGAATATTCTTTTCGGTAGATGCGGTAACGTCTATGTTATCTACCCCCGCTCCTGCTCTTCCTATGACCTTAAGTTTCTGTCCTGCTTCTATTACATCCCGAGATACTTTTGTATCTGATCTTACAATTAATCCATCGTAATTCTAAATATTATCAAATTTAAAAATAATATAAAAAAACTCATTAGGCTTTACTAGATTACGGAGAGGTTGGGAAGGGGGAGAGTCGACTAGACTAGAAAAGGCTTCGAATTGATGGAGGAAAATACGAAAATCAAAACCAAAAGTAAAAGTAACATAAAAGAATACTAAGCACTAAATGTGCATCAAAAATATCAAATTGATTTTACTTTTTTTGTTTCCGCACCTCCTTTTATCACTAGGAAGATTTTCCAACCCCTTCTTGTCCCTCCTCCCCCCTTCTGTACTCGCTATAATGCAGTAATGTACTGAAGGAGACCCGAAACTGTATATAAGAAGGAAATTATACTGTAAAACTAACATTATTTTCTATTCGGTAAATTATTTGTTAACTAACACGGGTACATTAATAGCACAATTTTCACTGACCGGTATTTCTTGTATAAGCTGTTCTTTGCTGAGTTTGTACTTGCAAACAACATCAATTCCATTTTCTTTTAAAAGGTCAACACATGACTTATCTACTGCATCCGCTACAAAAACTTTCTCTATTTTCATTTTTTTATCTAATTGCAATATGTATGATCAATTTCACTACAACAAGCTTTCTTTAAAAGCAGACTATAAGCGAAATGAAGTCGAGTATTAATTTTATTCTCAAATAATTTATACGAGATCCCCACCATCAAAAATTAAAGTTGTTTATCATGAAGATATTTTACATAAGAGCGATTATCTATGCATAAGTGTAAACAAAAATTAGGAAATATTTCTTTTGAAAAACAGGGATATTTCATCAGAAATGGAATTTTAAATTATATGAGAAATTATGTTTAAAATGTATTATTTTGTTATTTTTAAGACTTTTTCCTAAATGATTTTTTATCCAACATGACCTTTTACAGATAATTGTGTAACACTATTTAGGTGAGTATATGAAATTGTTTTTTGTTTTATTTTAAAAATCATGATGAAAACACTCATATTTTCTATCCAAGAAACAGTTCAAGCGTTAAAAATAATCTAGGCAACACATATTACACCACCGCTACAATAAATCGTCGTCCGGTTTTATACTATACTTATAAATATCAGAAATGATATTAGAATATTTGGAAATAGGAGATCTGACAAAAGCAAGTGACTTTAAAGAAAATTTATTTCAAGGCCAAACAAACAAAACACTACTAAAACAAAATTTAATTTTC